TTCAAACGAATGATAGAAAAAAGATTCACAGTTGACCTTAAATTTAAAAAAATGTTTCACATTTTGTACCTAGTAAATACTTATCATTGTCGAGTGTAGATTTGAAGGGATTTTATTGACTGTAGCATCGATCACGAGTTAACGTTAGTTAAACATCTACTTCGTCATAGTTTGGTACTCTTCAGTAGTACGGAGCCACTACAGAAATACGAACCCAGAAACCCCTCGCCAGTTACGAGGCAGCCGCTTGTAGACCATCAAGCCATTAGGAACCATACCCAATAGTGCCACTGCTGCGCAAGGAAATGGAGATTCAGTCAGCATGCTTGACACAAAGTCGAAAAGGAGAGCAGATGTGGGTGCAGACAACCATCTATTTCAAGGAACCTTCAGGGTGAAGCTGATATCCTTCAAAACAACTGAAGACAGACCACAATTCAAGTCCAACATTCAAAAACTGAAGGAGAAAACTGCAAGGGATGCCTTCACTACAGATGAGATCAGAGAAAAGTCAGAGACACTACGCGGTAAGGCTGAGGAAGCCTGCATAAAAGAACACTGGAGATCAGATAAGGTGATGTTCACGGAAGCATGTACAACTGTTTTGGGAGGAAAGAAGAGACAAGACAAGAAATGGCTCTTTACGGACACCTAGAAGCTAACAGAAGAGAGGAGGATGCGGAAAGAAATGACTCAATGCAAAGATACACAATAGAGGGAGAAGCTAAGATTAATGTGCCCTGCACTGAATAAAAAAGTGAAGAATAGAGCCAGGAAAGATAAAAGACAATGCCTAGCAGTTGAGGCAGGCTTCAGGTAAAAGAAACCTCAGAACATTATATCAGATAACCACGTCTCTATCCGGGAAGAGATCAACCCAGATGATGGAACCCATAAAAGATATTCAAGGGAACCTGATTGCCAAGGAAAAGAAACAAATAAAACAATGGGCTGACCACTTTAGAAAAAATTTGAATCGACCATCGCCTGGAACTCGCCTAGAAACACACACCCACTGACAGTATGCACAGAACTGTCTGTCAGTGTACACAAATTATCCAATGAAAGCAGAAATTCTGAATGCCATTAAGCTACTAAACACCGTCCAGGAAGGCAGTGGCACCAGACTGAATTCCCCCTGAAGCACCGAAAACAGGAACAAAGACTGCAGCAGATATGCTGACACCATTAATGCAAAAAGATATGGAAGGAAGGAAAGGCGTCTACTGATTGAAAGAAAGGCTACCTTGTCAAGCTACGAAAGAAGGGGGACTTAAACCTATGCAAGAGCTGGAGTGGAGTCGTGCTTTTGTCTACGCCAAGTAAAATACTAAGTCTCGTCACCCTGAGAAGACCAAAAGATGAACCGGGTGAAGATGTCCCCTCTGATTCAGGAAGGGCAAATCATATGCTGATCAAATCTCAACGCAACGCATCATCACACAAGGTATAGAATGGCAGTCAAATGTCTGCCAATAATCCATCAACTTTGAAACAGCCTTCGACAGAGTAATTTGGAAACTGCTCCGAAACTATGGAGCGCAGTGGATCAAATCTTTCTCAACCTCATTCAACTGCCAGCTATGTGACAGTGACACATGTCAGGCGATATACAGCGAATAAATATGAGAAGCCTTTGAAGTGAATACGGGAGTGAAACATGGATGCCTGGCTATTATCACCTACGATGATATTCCTAATTGTGGTGGAGTGGATTATACGGCGCGCTATGTGTGTGGGCAGCAAAAAGACAGGAATACGTTGATCCGGTCAGAAGACCTGGATTCAGCCTATGATTTCTGTTTAGTGTCACACACACACAAAGACGCGAAGACCTACAGGCGAGAACCAAAAAAACTGGTGGAAGAGACTGACAGCGATGACATGACTCCAAGTGCATATATTGAAGACGAAGGTGATAAAGATAACCACCCAAAAACAACTAGCACTTATTATCACTATTAATGGAATAGATTTGAAAGAGATTACTTCCTTCACCTATCTATAGAGCATTAATTCAACCACAGGCACTTGGAACGGACCAAGATGTCAAAGCAAGCCAGAATAGGAAAGCCAAGATACACCTTCATCAGTATGAAATCAGTTTGGCAATCCTCTAAGCTCAGCACAAATAAAATAAAATATTCAAATTTTCAACACAACTGTGAAGTTAGTTCTTCCATAAGGGTGAGAAACTTGATACTGACGTCACGAAGAGGATTACCAACAGTCTGTTGCAGACTTTTATCAACAGCTGCCCCTTTTGCTGGCTGGCTCCATACTGAAGATCAAATGACAAGTTGACCATAAAGAAACTCTGACTGGGAACACAAACCAACTAACAATGAGTTGCTCAACAAATATGTAGGAGAAAAAGTGGAGATGGATCGGAGACACATTGAGGAAACTGTCGTATGACATCGCGCATCGATTGAAATCTAAATAGAAAACAGCTAGTGAGTCGTCCGAGGGTGACATGGAGGAGATTGTTTCAGAAGGAGGTGATGAGAGATTATGGGCAACCGTCGATCCAGCTGAAGAGGATAACAGAAAATATAACAAAGAGGAGATATGTTGTTGAAGTACTACGTTCCACTCGGAACCGAAGGAATAATAATTATAATAACATCTTCTAGACAGTAACAACAAGCCAAATTATGTTAGGATTTCCCAACTATTCTGATTTTCATTTAGCCTTCATGGTTCAAGTAGCCTAACGGATAATGCTTTAATGTTTGAAACGATGAATGGTGGGTTCGAGTTCCAGTGACAGTAACATCACTCATTGTGTAGGAAGGACATGCAGACGAAGACCTTCAAATAAGACGAAATGCGACTACTTACTTTTTTACTTTACTTCGGCTATCTCCTACGGGAGGATAAGCCGGCTTCATGAACATCACGAATCATCGCTGCCAAGGCGCGGCATGGTGAGAGTTGTTCGTAAGAGAGTTCATGAAGTTTCATGGGAATTAGGTACGAGTAATGTCCCCAGAATCGCTCGACCTTTTGTTTGAGAGTGCAGCTCTAACCTTTACACAAACAAGTGTGACCTACAAGGCAGTAGGAGTGGAGTAGAAAGTCCACTATCCATTGGCAGCCGGTGACCGGAGTCCGGTTCATACGCCTTTTTGAATGGGGCCAGACATCCAGGGCATCCAATGAGCCTTTTGTCCATACGTCTGCCAGTGAGCTCCGATGAGCTTCATACGCCAGTCGTTGGAGGTTTGGAATCAGGGTTTAGCAATCTCCCCTAGACTGTCATCCAATGGACAGTCAACCCGGTGAAGAGCGCCGGGCATCCGCTTTTGCCCTCTCACTTCGGTGAAAAACACCTCTGCCACGTGAAAGCAGTGAGTAGGACTTCCTCAGGAGAGGCTATGTAAGACGCCCAATCATATGGGAGCATTTCAAGAGGTGTGTGGAGGGGTAGTCAACCCGCAGCGCAAGGCACCCACCCCCGACCACCCTGAGGCTTTGGAGGCCGAAATGCGACTCCTGAATTTCATTATCAGTAGTCATCCGAATATCGAGGCATCCCTTCCAAAGGAAGTCAGTTCATGTTACTCAACTCTACTCTAATGCTGGTTTTTTTCCTCTTGAAGAAATAGTATATGAATGGAAGTGTATACATAGTATAACCGCCGAAAAGTGTAGTAGTTTGGTAAGAGAAATGAAGACCAGTTAAGTAGATTAGGCAACGTATGTATGACTGGACAGAGTAAATTAAGAGGGTAAGAGGCCTATGACACACTGATAGAAATACCACTAGGTAGGACTTTTCTGATGAATGAAAACAGAATAAAGTCTGCTACATTCGTACTGCCCTGCAATTACACAATGTTGCAAAAATATAATAATAATAAGGAAGACAAGAAGTGGCTGATGTAGTACGTGTAAAACTTTATAGACGTTGAGATTTAGGTGTTTATTTTATTTGGTTTCTATAGGATATTGTAGGACACTATAATACCCTACTGACTTCATTATAATATTTACATGACTAATGCATTGCTTACAATCATTGAATTCTGAAAGTATACTAGTTAGGTTAGGCGTTAAATCTAGACTGATAGATAAGGTCATTAGAATACGTGAAATTCTTACTTAAATTTCAAAATAATACATTTTTAATAGGCTAAGTAATCTAACATTTATACTTAAATTCAGTTATCTAGTTGCATAAGCTGATGACGGGCAAACACTACAACATAATCGGAGATAGACCTGACATGACACAGACGTCTAATAAACTTCAGTTAAGAGAAAAGAACACAGCCGCTGGCGACATGTCAGCCTTTAGTACGGATGCCTCGACAATATTTGGAGTCATCTAATGGATAATGACTAGCACTGAAATCTATGATGCGCATTTCGTCCCATTTGGGACTCGTCATCTAGATGTGATTGCAATCGCCGCCAATGGCTGAGTGATAGTTTTCCCATTGAGAAACGAATCCAGTGTCCATTGTTTCAAACGCCAAAGTGTGAACCACTTAGGCATCATCACATATGAATGCAGTTACATCCAGATGATGAGTCCCAAAAAGGATGCGAAACAGCTATTCAGTATTCCTCGGTTTTCAGTAGTTCTCTAAACTAACCACAAAAATCCATCAAATGCCTACAAATCAACAATCGAAATGAACATGTCATGTTAAAGTTGGTTAGAAATGTTCGCTAACACATACACACACACACACACACACAAAAGAGGATACAAAAAAACACAGAAGAAACGAAGACAAGTGGAAAATCTAGAAGGATGAAGAGATGAGGAAAACAACGCAGTAATAATTAAAACAATGATTTAATTGCCAAATAATTTTCATAGCAATAACATCAACAACAACAGGAAGAAGAAACGGAAAATCAACTAGGCGAAACCCACGCACCCACCCACCCCCACACACACACACACAGAAATCAGCTTTATCAACTAGTTAATGGGTGACACAGAGAGAGGAGTATAGAAAGGAAAAAAGGAAAGAGCAACTTACAGCGTATCGAGCGAGTATATTTGAGCCGGCACCCATTCCAAAGCCTAAGAAATAATTTATCCTATAAAGTGTACATAAACAAAAAAGTTAGAATCAACAAATATTTTCTCATGCATAACGAAAACAACAGTGTAAACATCAACAAGGCATCTTTGTTCATTTCGATTGTGAATAAAAATAAACTCATAAGAAAAAAAATCAGTTATTCAAATTCCACATCACTACATTCTTCCCACACACACACACACACACCTATATAGGATGGGTAAATTATTACGATTCCCAAGGATTCAACAGAACATCTCCATTTCAACCAGTTCTCTGCAGCCTTCTTTAGCTGGCTACTCTGTTACCTATAGGTCTTCACTTCATCCTCCTCCAAGTCACCCTCGCACTGTTACTCAACTGGTCGTTTCCCATATAGGTTGGCCTTGAGGGACCTGGCGCATTGTCACTCAACAGTCTCTGCAGTGTGTGTCCTGTACGTCTTCATTTTATTCGAGATATTTGTAAAGCAATAGGTTGTTGGTCAGTTCGTTTCTACTTTTCCCTGTTGCCAATCCATTCTGGTCATCTGATCAGCATGGAGCCAAGTCAGTTGTTCATAAAAGTCTGTAGTCCACTGAGGACGCCCCAAGTCACGGATGCATACTGAAGAACTGACGTAACATTGTTGTTGGAAATCAGGACACCGTCCTTTATGCTGAGCGCAGACGATTTCCACATCGGTTTCAAATTAATGAAGGCCTACCTTTCCTTTCCAATAGTGCCTTTGGCATTCTCATATGTGTCACCTACAGTTGAAATAATGCTGTCTATATAAGTGTAAGAAGTGACCTCTTTTAAATTTATTCCGTTGATAGTGATTGGTGCTGGTTGTTGTCTTTGTTGTTGGTTGGTCTTCAATATATGCAATTGGAGTCCTGTCATCGCTGTCAACCTCTTCCGCCAGTTTTCTGGTTCTTGCCTGTAACTCTTCGAGTCTGTGTGTGTGTGTGTGTCACTAAACAGAAATCATAGGCAGAATCCAGATCTTCTGGAGTCTTTTAATCGAAAGAACATATTGCTGTCTTCTCGCCGCCGTACTGTCTAGTCCACCACAATTAGGAATATTATTGTGGATGATAATATGCAGTCAGCTGTGTCTTACTTCTGTATTCGTTTCAAAAGCTTCACTGAGTTTTCCCTAGTGGATCACCTGACACACGTCATTGTCATATGGCCGGCCGTTGAACGAGGTTGATAAAGATTTGATTCACTGTACTCCGTAGTATTGAAGCAGTTCCTAAATCATTTCTTGGTCGACAATGGAAAAGGCTTGTCGAAGTCGATGAAGTTAAGGTACAAGTTTGATTGCCATTCTATGTTATGTTCGATGATGATGCGCAATTGATTTGCTTTTCGGATGGAAGAGAATATGTTGAAAAAGAAACATGAAGAAGCAAATAATTAATTTTTTCTCCACATTCACGAACACATCACTTAACCCATGGAATAAATTCCTGTGACATCATAGTTAAAGACACATAGCAGTGACACTGCAGATCTACTTTGGGGATAAAGATTAATCAACCGCCAACATGCAGACGATATAATCTTAATGTGTTATCAAATACAGGCTTATGCAAAAGATATAGCTTCTATGTTGGCCACAATCTCTTTGTCTTCTGTTAAGTTGAAAGAAGAGGCGATGATGTCTAACAGGCCACCAATGTGATTGAGAAATGAAAATTCCGGGTATTTTATACACAACTTGTTGGCTTAAGAAATCATATGATAAGGATGAAACTTTCATGTCTTCTTCACTACCAAAAGTAATTCAAATCGAAGCGTAAAATTTTCAGTGTACTTCTTCATGAGAATTTTCGCCTTTTCGTTCCTTTATACTAGAAGTATATTTGACTCTGCCGCCTATATTTCTACTTTTCTGTTATGCATTTCATGGTCATCATAATGTGCCAATTTGAAATAAGTATAAAACTTGGACACTGTGGTAGAGTATAACACTGTGTGATTTATCAAAATAAAATCTTATCCATAATGCAATGTACCGATTTGTACCAAAATTCAATAGATACTCTTCTCATCTTAGCAACTCCAAATGCATGCATACAAATTTGCATGAATCTACGGTAGCAGTTATATTGGGAAAACAGAGAGAAGGGCACACCTCGGATTTTCTGAACATATACCAAAAAGTCTACATCTCAAGGAAACAAATGCTTACAACAGTGACATTACTAGACATCTTTAAAATTATCAATAGAGAAAAAAGCTCAATTCTTCACAAGTTTGCCGAAGCAATCTCTATTGATCGCCTGAAACGCAATGTATGTGTTCAGAAGGGAGCAGTTAATCAGTCTTTTCTTGCTCATTTTGGTACCTGGTTGTCTTCATCCTCTGTTTCATTTGATTGCATACTCTTTGCCTTTAACCTCATCCTCCACTTTTGATGTAGTATAATTTTGCTTGTCTCTTGATTCAATGACTTGAGATGAACTCAGGAGACTGTTAACTAATTTATCAGTCACTCATTACCTTAGTCATCTTTTATCCTTATTACGTAACTCCTTTACCATTGTATGCAAACATTTACTTAGTTTAAACTTGAACTACCTGTGTAAAAAACTATATAAGCGTAATTTTCTGAGTACACTGTTCACGAATTCTGGGACCTCATATCAACTGACATCATGTAAAATTTGCGAGTATGTTAAAATGTTTTTGCAAATGGACCTAATAGTAAATTTACTTAGGCTTTAAGCAGATCATGAGAAGACAACGAAATAAACGGTGGTACGTACTATGGTGACAGCTGGCTGCTAGCCAAAATTGGTAGACAGCAATTTACATCAATGTTACCATCCCAAATCTTGGTCATGAGAAAACAACTAGAACAAAGACTAACTCAACAACTAGTCACAGCAGACTTTGCGTGGGCGGATACGAATCGCAGGTATATGGTCTGATCTTCAGAAGAAATGACCACAAAGAGATGACAGAATAACTTTCAGTGACAAAACAACCAATCAGAAGACACTGTTTCTCTGCTAATAATGACGAACAATAATGTACATAAAAATCTATAAATATTTGTTGATTTTCTCAATAAACGATCTGTTGCCTGCCCCTTGTCTTCTGTCGTTACAGTACCACCACCTTATTGTGCACAAACTGCTGTTCTTCTTGTTTCATTCGAAATTCAATAACGGGAATAAATGTACAAAGTACCAATTTTGTGTTTAAATAAATACGTGAATTAAATAGCGAATATGTTTCAAAGTTCTGAAGATAGAGAGACAAAGAAGGATAGAGAATTCTTTCAGAGTGTAAAAGAGTGAGCTGCTTAATCAAAATTCACCATATTAAACAATATGCCTATCATGATCTGATCTTCTATGGCTTTAGACGGACCATGTGGTGTGTATTAGTCCCACTCTACACACCGCTGAAACTGTTCAGTTCGGAAAACACAGAAATCACAAATATCTAAATCTCTTAAAATAATTTAATCCCACCCACCCCCACACCCACGGCCTCCGACACAACGAAACTATAAAGGAAAACATACAACAGTATGTTGAAAATCTTTCGCATGAACACCTAGTACATATATACACATACATAAATCGTTTTTGGCTACATAGATAAACCACGCAGGTGAAACGAGATGATTAAAATTAGACCATATAAACGTAATTTTTTTTCCTCAGCAGAATTTCATCTGTTATCCATTTCTAATCCAGATGTGTTTCACGAGGAAAGACACCAAATGTCTTCATGAGAAAGCAATATTAGGTTTATTATCATAAGAAGAAATTAAACATTAATTTACCAATGAGTCGAAAAACCAAAACGATATTATCTGTGTTGTTTTCCGCTGACATTTGGCTATTTTTAATTGTATCTACGGATTCAACTACACTTGTGGTGGAGCAAGTTGTATTAGCTGTTACTCTAAGAACTTTATTTTTCGTGCTAACTCGGGAACATCTATTAGTGTAGAGAAGTTAAGGTGTAGTGAAAACCATCAACAGTTCAATAATAGACCATCTGGTGCAAACCGGCCACAAAGCCAGCCAGCGGTGAAGAATCCTTCTCTATTATCTACCGGGTACCAGATGATTTGTCAAAAACGTCGAGGTACCGCATGCTCTAAACAGCAGAGGCTATCAAGATTCGCGTGAAACAGCTAGTGTTTTGTATGCAGAAGAAGCAAGTCCAGCCACTACTACTGCCTTGGCCTTTAGTAAAGACTATGAATTCATGAAGTTGTATTATCATCTTTCCTAATTCTTCTGATATTCAGTGTATTGTTAAGTTGATGCTATCGAACGGTATTCCACTGATATTTACACTAATGTTGTTAATAATACTAATTCATTCATCCACTAAATAACTGTAGAACCTGATGAAGTTATCGAAAAGGATATTCTTTGTTCAGTGACCATTCTTTTGAAATATTTTTAATGCTCCTAACAGCCTTATTAAAGCAAAATACAGTAAACCCGAAATAAAAGGGAACCTACAAAATGGAATGCTATCGTTTATTGAACCGGTAGTTCTATGTGGATATAGTTTAGCCATCTGTCAAACATTGTGTCTTGGAGATTCTTGGTTCATTTTTACCGAAAAGAGGTTTAATTACTATTCAGCGATACACAATCTTGATCTAAACCTCACAAAATCTCGCCTTTATTAGTGTTCATCCTCGGGAAAATTCAAGAATGTTTTTATATTCGAAAATTTTCATGTATTGCTTTTGTAGGGATTTTGCTGATTGGATGGAAGATTTCATCATGAGCAGACATCACTTAGAGAACCACTGGAAAACCTGCAGGGAGTACTGGACAGCTGTTTCGTTCTGGCTTGGGACTCTTCACATTACGCACCCGTCGGGGTTCGAACCCAGGACTCTCTGGTTATAAATCATCATCTAGTTCCAAAATAAAAGACTTAAGCATATTACTGCTCTTCATTTGATATATCTGACTATTCAGTATCAAGAATTAGATGATGATGATGAAAATAATAGATCACAACATGTGATCTACTTGGTATCATAGAGGGGGTAATCAAGAAAGAGAGCATAAATACGTAAAACTATATACTACTGTGATCGATTGAGATGAGTAGTTATATATCACTAACATCAATTGATACGGCTTTCTCAGATAAGTCAAACTGGATAACACCGCTGATAAAATCGGCGCAAAACAAGCGAAATAGTTGGCCCGGTGTTTAGATAACTTTAATCTGCCTTGCAAGCACTGCTGATTGACTTGAGTGTTATATATAGAGCGTTCTTCATTGTAGATTTCTCCATGATGTGACATCATTTAGAGTAGGATCCTTGAAAAACCAAAAAAAGCACTCAAAAAGTGTTCCGGTCTAGTTTAACACTCTTCAGAGGTGGCACTATATAAGGAACTGACGGAAGTGAAAATCAATATATCAGTGAATTTCAACACAATGAGTGAGAGCTCAGCGAGCTGGCCTCCTAGAAAGAAGACCCAGAGTTAGATTTCTGCTAGAGTTATGGATGAGCATTGCTCAAGAATCGCAAACTAGAACAAAGTAGGTAGTCAGTTTTTTTAATTCATGACTAATCAATATCCAGGCATTAATGAGAACAAAACACGTAGTTCTGCGAAGAGTCGCTTTCAGTTGAGTTCACTTTCTTAACTGTACAGTCGCAAATATATATGGGTTATTTTGTATGTATGTATGTATACATTAATGAAAACAAAACACGTAGATCAGCGAAGAGTCTCTTTTCGGCGAATTCATTCTCTTAGCTGTACAATCGCAAATATATATGCATTGTTTTGTATGTATGTGTACATTAAGTTTGTCAAACAAAGTTACAATTGGTTAAGGTTACTTTTAACTAAACAAGTGAAGGTTGGTAATACAGGTTAAGAAAATTAAGTGTTAATGAAACTAGGGTAGTAACAAAGGTGATGAGTTGTCACAAACAGTTGTAATAATAATAGTGAGTGGTTTACTCAGGATGCACATAGAAACAAAGTAGATAATACGAAACTATGTAAGAGATTTAAGTGAATACAAGAATTATAAGCAATTAAGGAACAGGCAAAGAAACAAAATTAAGTCATCAAAATAAAAATAAAAGCTCAAAACAAATCAAAACATTGTTACCATGAGAGTAGAAGTGGTTGAGTAATCTTCTTTTGTATGCACAGCTCCGGTTTTTCCATGTGAATGGCCAGAGCTTCAGCGATGCAAAGGAGACGAAACCGTATTGCCTTTGATATGTTATTCTTGACTCTGTAGATTACTTTGAAGGAGGCGTTCGTTGAAATGCAATGATCAGTGTTGACCAGGTGTTCAATTATCGCACTCCTTATTGCACCAGTATTGCCTTTTCGCAACCATGCTGGATAATGTTCTTGAATTCTCTTGGACAGGATGCGCGTCGAACGACCGATGTACCTGGCTCCACAGCAGCAGGTGAACTGGTATATGCACATAGAAGTGGCCAGATGCGGGATCTTGTCCTTGAGGCTTCTGCAGATCAGTGGGCGACTGGAGAACACTATTCGTAGCGTTGCTGCAAAGAACGTTCTTCTCAGAGATGATGTGATCCTTCTCTTGAGAATATCGCTTGCTAAATCTCCCTTGAAATCCAAATTCATGTAGATTTTCTTTTTAGGCGCAGTTAAAGTTTCGTTTTTCCGAATTATTGGTTTCATATTTTTGTCGATAAATCTTATTGGGTATCCATTTTGGATGAATATTTCTCTCAGAATATCTAATTCTGTTTCCAGAACGTCGGGACTACAGATGCGTCGGATGCGGGTAGCAAGTGATTTAATTAAATTTCGCTTTTGTTGAATGGGCACCCAGCTATAGAAGCTTGTTAGTTGACCATTCCACGTAGGTTTTCTATGGATTGATCTTCTTAGGCTCCCATCAGCTCTTCTTGTCAGTTCCACATCAAGAAACGGAATTTTTGACTCGTTTTCCATTTCAAGAGTGAATTTTATTGCTGGATGGCAATTGTTAAATGTCTTCAGCAGCAGATTGGGGTCGTTGTTGTTGTCACAAATAATGAAAATGTCATCCACGTATCTTTTATACAGTCGCAAATTGTCGATGCTTGGCTTTAGTGAACCTCTCTCGAGGCTTGCCACGAAGCAATCTGATAGTAGTGGACCCAACGGAGATCCCATTGCAATACCATCCTTTTGTCTGTAGATGGTGTCGTTGAATGTGAACTGGACGTTCAGAGTGCATCTCAATAATAGTTCTTTCAAGTATGTTGTCGGTATTCCAATATCGAGGTGGTTGTCATCTATATATCTGCATATGAAGCAGACCGTTTCTGTGAGTGGGACATTGGTGAAAAGTGACTCGATGTCGAAGGACAGCATAATTTTGTTAGATACATTCGTGTCTTGTATGCACTCGATGAACTGGAAGGTGTCACGGAGCGAGTACGTACATAATTGCTTCCTTACAGGTTCCAGAATATCTGCTAGCCATTGCTCTTTTAACAACTGTTTGTGACAACTCATCACCTTTGTTACTACCCTAGTTTCATTAACACTTAATTTTCTTAACCTGTATTACCAACCTTCACTTGTTTAGTTAAAAGTAACCTTAACCAATTGTAACTTTGTTTGACAAACTTAATGTACACATACATACAAAATAACCTGTGTATATTTGCAATTGTACAGCTAAGAAGATGAATTCGTCGACAAGAGACTCTTCGCTTAACTACCTATTTTGTTCTAATTAGTAACCAGTTTTTCCTTTCAACATAATGCATCAAACTATCTGTATTTCTTAATGTGTTAATCACTAAATTATATCTTGAGTCGCGAAATATGCGTGAACAAATTTTGAATTGGCTTTCAACCCACTGCTGTGCATTTATTGAAGACAAAGGAAAAATATCACAAATGGCTGGTTTCCGCCTTAGGTTGGAACAGCATCGTGTCACGCAATATACCGCTTTTTCACTTCTTTGTGTTTCGAGTAGAACATAGGGTCGCTAGCCTCAGAACAAATCTACCATTTTAAACCGGCCTACTACTAGCCAGTATGGACTTAGGAGTGCGTCGGCTGGGAATCGAACCGCAGACTATACGCATAGTTTGTTGGAGTCCTACTACTGAACTACCGGGACATGCGACAAACTACTGACTACTATTTCACTCGGAGATCCTGGACGAAGAGGAAACATTAGGCAATAAATTACGCTAAGAATTTTGTACACTGCGTAAACACTTTGTCAAGAATAAAACTATTATTATTATTATTGTCATTCTTTTATTGTTAAACTGGAGTGATAATAAGTTAACTAAATGAAGTCAACTTCTTATAGTTATTTCATCCAGCTCAATAGTTCGACGAAGGTTAGAGTGAAGTCTTTTCTCACAATGAATTTATTCAACACTATAACCAAAATAGATACGCCTTTCTGATTAAATGGCTTTAAAAACAGAATATCTATGTTTTTCCTTCTTTGAAGATGAATTTCTATTCCCCGCATCCTTCCTCCTGTATGGTGTTTAGTCCAACCACAAAGTCGCAGGTCTGCACAAAATTCAGGTGCCAATAAATGTTACCCATGAATTAAAACCATAATAATAATAATAATAATAATAATAAAGTGAAACAAATATTTACCCGAAATGAACAAGTATCGATGTGATCATATCGGCCAACTGATCCATATCCGGATAACGAGAACTGATAAAAGACATTAGAGAAAAAACAACATGTCAAGAAAACAAAACACAATTGAATGGAATGATATAAACAGTACTCACATGATATGTGCATATAACGTGAGGTTCATGTACATGCACACTGGATGATGATGATTAGGTTCATATCATCAACAATTTCTCTTCAGAAAGTTGGTTTATACCGATTGGATTTAATTTCAAGTTTGACTGTGGATTGATATCAGTTAGAGAACCATTAAAAACCAGCAGAGAGTACCGGACAGCTGTTTCATCCCAGCCTTGGACTCATCGGCAGTACGCACCTACCAGATCTCAGACTTAGGAACCTCTAGCTCCAAGGAAACTTAGAGCTCATGGACCATTGAATCGGGTACTAGTGGATTAATGCTTAAGGAACACACCTTGTCACCGGAAGATCCTGATTTCGAACACAGACGGGTGCGTACTGATGGTGAGTCCCACACTAGGACGAAACAGCTGTCCACTACTTTTTGCCGGTTTCCAATGGTTCTCTAACTGATATCAATCCGGGGTCAAACCTATAACAACAGATAATCTATAATAAACCATACAAGCAGATGAATTCAATCCATCTGGAGAAAACAATGATCACTAGAGTTCATTACAACAGTTACAAAGCTGAAGTTCATGGAGTAAATTTATAGGAATAAGTTGTGCACTTACTACTGTTCAACTATGAAGGATGTATGAATAATGATATAGCGAAACAGAAACAAAATGCTTTGCAAACGATATCAAAATCAGATGAATTGTAGAATCAACATTAAGCTTGTAATCGCCTAGTTCTTTATATATAAGCAGTGTGTTACATCCTAACATGATTGTGTTACATACTTATGCTTACTAGTGCGAACAAGAGTAGTATATTGTGTCATATCGTTGGGAGAAATAAAAAGACATTGACATTCAAGCATCAGAGATTTGGAATAGACGAAAAATCTGACGTTGACAAAAATACAGAAGACAAGCGAAGTAGAGATACTAACTGAAGTGAAAAGTTTTAATAAAAAACTGTAGCAGTTTTCCTCATAACGATTATTATTGAAATTTGAGATAATCAATAACTTAGCCATAGTATCAACATGCAATATAACCCCACTGAGTAAGTAGTCTACAAGTTGACATATTACAGCATTGGATAACAAAGACAAGTTAGATAGTCATTTTGTAAAGAAAGATTAATTGTGAAATTGAGTGACGTGTCGAGGGGGGGGGGCAGGGAAGGTTGCGTAGTGGCTTTTAAATACAGCAAGATTATTTCCTTGCCTTCTAGTAATTTAATACCAGTGTTATTATTCAATATATTGAGTTAATTACCCAGATTGGGGCTTTAGAAGTACAAAAAGTTGTAAATTAATAATAATTTGCTTTATTCCAAAACAGCATTTGTGATACAGAATAGAATTTTCAGCATTCCACTACAGTACTGCATCCAGTTAGTACATTAACTATAAATAAAATTCTACATAGATTAAGGGTAATCTCAGTTCATTATGACAACAACATATTGGCATAGCCAAAATTGAACAGTGTTTGAAGGTGTTAGAAAAGTAAAACCTAGCATATTTACTGGCTTAAGCGGTAACAAAAAGGTCGAGATATACAGAGTGTGAAAGTACGAAGAAGAATGTTTTCAATAAAGTTTGTAAGGAAGAAAGAAACAAAGCAGAATGCAACAGAAAAAGAGAGGGAGAAAAGGAAAAGAAAGAAAGAAAAAAACGTTGTACCTATAAATGATATGAGTTGGAAAGACGAGATCCAGTTGTTCTACTGACTATTTAATAAGTTATAGGTATCACGCCTAATGCTTTCTTTATCGCACAGAACACAAGCTAAGTAGGGTATGGTTGAGGTTTTGTACTTGCTAGTGCGAGCATTTAGTTTCCTATATAGGCTTCTGGTAGTAATCAACGCAGTAGTCAACAGCACAAATGAAGAAAGGATTAGAAATTTGATAAGGTTAAAACTAGTATTGAATGCGAATAAAGGTAGTTGAGTGTCAATTTAACAAGTGTGAAGAGAGTGTGGAAATGTACAAAAGGAACGTATATATATACTGACCAGACGGCCCAAATGAACAAAGCAGTTATCTGAAACGACCATTTTCCGACACTGTTGACTTCAGGCTTAATCTACAAGTTAGAAGAGTAAAAACGCTAAACTATATACACAGATTCGCTCCAGAAAAGTAAAGAAACTTCCTGTGTAATTTATTCTCTTTGAATTCAGAAAAGCGTATTCACATAAGTAGTTTGAAATCAGCCTTCTTCTACCTCTCTCAGATGAGGTAAAGGTGCATCCACTAATCCTGTGATGAACAGCGAACATTCACATTCACCAGTTCACCAATATGTAGAAATAGTCTACACCACTGTGTCAAAAAAGCAATCAGCAGGACTTAACTTGACTGTAATGAAAGTGTACTTCGAAGGAAGGAACAAAGCCCATCAATTCTCAACAAATGAAATACTAATTGTATAATGAATGAATTTTTTTTTTGATTTACAGCTTGATTCCACACTGTATTTTCGGTACAAGTATGGAATTTTCAGCATGGATATCGGTAGCCCAAATTTTGCAGGCCGACCATAGATATCAGATGTGCGTCGGTGCGGGCTCGAACCCCGGACCATGTGCATGGTTGGCGAGAGTCCTAACCACTGTGCCACCGACGCAGTGGTGGGCTTGAACGAAAGGCGTACAATCATTTAGTGTAGAAAAATTTGTTTAGTCACATGAAACAAATGAAATTACATTTGGAAACCATTTGACTATTTCATTAACATCAACACTCATAATATAAAAAACGACAACAACAAAAAAAGAATGTTTAGTGAATTGGAAGTGAGAAAGTAAAGTATGCTGTCGGTAGAAAATTACCGATTGCATTAAAAATGTTTCCATCTAATTTAATTTTTTCTTTCTTCTTTCAGTTTTTACAAATGTGTCAACTACTTACTGACTAGGTGAAAAATACAATTCAGGAGACAATAAAGTAAGAGAATAGATCAGAAGGCAACTCTATGCATCATCATCGAACAGCGTGGCAATCAAACCTTTACCTGAACTTCCTCGGCTTCTAAAAAGCCTTCGATAGGGTTGACCAAGAAGTAATTTGGAAACTACCTCAACAACATGGAGTGCAGCAGCGCATCAAATCTTTGTCAACCTCATTCAACAGCTGCCTATATGCCAATGTCACGTGTCAGCCGATACACAGCGGAAAACTCAGTAAAGTTTTTATAGTGAATACGTGAGTAGGACTCGATTGCCTGCCTATTATCACCCACGATGATATTCCTAATTGTGGTCAACTGGATTATACGGAAGACTGTGAGTCCGGAGCGATGAGTGAGGAATACGTTGTGTCGACAAAAAGACTCTGGAAGATCTGGATTTCTCAGATGATTTACGTTTTGTCACAAAGACTCGAAGACTTATAGGCGAAACAACAACACAATGACGGAAGAGGCTGCCAACGAAGACAGAACTCCAGGTGAACATAGAGAAGATACAGGTGATGAAGATAACCGGGCAACCAAACAATCAACAAAAACCAGCACCAGTCAGTAACAACGGAATAAATTTGAAAGACGTCATTTCTTACACTTTTACAGACAGCATTATTTCAACTGTAGGTGACACAGATAAGAATGTTGAAGGCAGTATTGGGAAGGCAAGGCAGGCCGTCATTAATCGGAAACCAGTGTAGGAATCTTCTCAACTCAGCATAAACAACAACATTCGTACACAAATGTTAAGTCAGCTAGCGTTTCTACATGGGTCAGAAAATTAGCGCATCACGTAAAGCATTTTCAAAAAGTCACACAGTTTTATCAACAGTTGCCTTCACTCCGTATTGAAGGTCGAGTTGCCAGAAAGAATTAGCAACAAGAAACTATGGGAACAAACCAATCAAGAATCTATCGCTCAACAAATATGTTGAAGATAATGGAAAAAGATCGGATATACACTGAGCAGAGTGTTGAATGACGTCCCGCTCCAAGCTATCGCTCGAATGGAATCCTAAACGAAAAGTTCGTTGCAAGTTTGAGGGTGACATGGAGGAGATCATGCGAAGATGATATGAGTGACTATGAGCAATCATAAGCCCAGGCAGAGAAAACAGCAGCAATTAGAACAAAGTGGAGATGTGCTGGTGAAACCCACTTATAACCCAAGGAACCAATAATGATAAATAATAAGTGTTTTAGATTAAAAACGTTCATAAGTAATTATATAGATGTAATGGGTGATCACTGAAGGTAAAATAAATATCTAAGTAGCAGAGGGATTCGAACCAGTGGCCTTTATGAGTCATTAGTTCAGTCCTCTACCAGCTGAGATACGAGACAAAGCTGTTAGCTGAGTCACCCTTGCACAACGACCACTTGTAACCATTTTAAATCAGTTTTTATACCAATGTGAAGTTAAAAGATAACTACTGCATATGCAGACAAATATGCGCCTAATTATTATTTGAATTTAGTTGAAATAGAATAACTGGTGTAAGTCACCGAATTCAGAAAATGACTGCATTTAGGTTAATATAAATTCAGGTGTCCATGTAGTGTCATAAATCATTACATGTACTGAGTAAAAGTCATAACCCCTTGCATAAAAAGCAATTATCGATCAATTGAGCTAGTTCACCAACATAACTACGAAGTGTGCAGAATATGTGGTCTGAACCTGAAGCAGGATACTCTATTACATCAATAGTACAAAAAATGGAAATTAATAAACAAGGTGACACTTATGAATAAGATCAAAAAATCTACAGATGATCTAGTATGCCGTATGAAGTCAACTTTGGATGAATCTAACGGCTAAAACCGATAATCCTAGTAGGAATGTAAGGCACTATCGAAATTCATAAAGCAGAATATCCTATTAGTCAAATAGTTGACTTTCGGAACACATCGATGTACGAGTTGTTTAAATATTTAGAATAAATATCATGCTTCATTAGACATAGGTCAAATTCTAGGCTAACTAACTCCTACATAATATGAAAGAGAATTTAGGCGAGAGGCAAATAGAAAAAGATGAGAAGAAAAAAAAATATTCCTTTTGACATAATTAGTTTGCCCGCTAATATCCCGATTATTACAGCTCTGGAGGCAGTTTGGAATGAACTGAACATTGAGTCTGAACCCAAAAGTAGAATTAAACTGTTGGCTGATGAAATAATATTAGGTGTTTAGTTACTATAAACCCCAAGTGCACTTGAATTACAAAATAAAATATAAAAGCAAACACACCGGGTGGCAATGAGATCACTAATATATGTCCAGTAGTAGCAGGCATATTTATAGGATAATTGGGAATGTTGGTAGGATCTTAGAACACTTAATTCCCCCCCCCCTTTCAGTAGCTTATGATGAAGATGTATGAACAAGAAATTCACAGTGTTGAAATCTGAATATATCTTTGAGTTTTTCACACATATAAACTCAAGGGTAGATGAAATACAATTCATTTTTCAGTTAGAAAATGAGCAGCGTGAGTAAACTATTAGGCATGGCAGACTAGGTGTTAGCATCTGTCTGTCTCTGTCTGTCTGTATTCAACATGGAACTTGGCACCGAAGTGCAGCAGTTCGAGTTGCCACCTTCCAAATAGCACACAAAGGTAGACAAGAAGATGAGTGAAGAGAATCAATAGAGTTTGACAAGTATAAGAGTGGAACAGAATGGGTAATGGTAGAAAGGAATATGAAAGATTACAGAGACTGAATACATCTGCGCCAGTGTTAGCATCTATTGGGAACTGTTACAATCTGATAGGTAGGTACCTCGATTTTGATTCATTTCAACACAAAATCTGTTAAGGTAAGTTAAGTTAACTGCAATCGAGCCAGGAAGCTATTTAGTAGGTCTGGAGATTCAAATAATGATATGAAAAAAAATAAGGAAAACATTACTACTAATGAACAACTACCCATCGAATTCGTCTCGAAGATGCATTAAGACACATAAGAAAAACAAGAGTAGTCATGTAGATAACCAAAATAATACAGATAATAAAAAATCCAAATACTCAGTAGTACTGGTAAATAAGGAAGGATTATCCTTCCCGGTGGAATATAGGGCTTCAAGCCAAAGGCGTGAAGTTTCAGCAGCAGTGGTATTTATTTTTACGGGATGGGGTTGCT